GCTGCAGTTTAAAGCCAAAGCAATTATAAATGTCTTTTCTTGAAACTGCTGTTGCTTTTCTGGTCCCTGAAGAGCTGATAAAAAGGAGAATTTTTCTGTTATGCTTTCAGTATTTCTCTTTGCTTGATTTAAGACAAGGGAGTAATGGGTTTAAACTTAAACAGCGGAAGTTCAGGTTAGATATAAGGAAGAAGTTCTTTACTGTGAGTGTAGTGAGGCACTGGAACAGGTTGCCCAAAGAAGTGGTAAATGCTCCATCCCTGGCGGTGTTGAATGCCAGGTTGGACAGAGTCTTTGGCAGCATGGTCTAGGGTGAGGTGTCCCTGCCCTTGGCAAGGGAGTTGGAAATAGATGATCTTAAGATCCTTTCCAACCCGAACCATACTATGATTCTATGGTTCTGTGATTTCCTTCCCTTTCTTTCCCTTCCCAGGAGGGAGTAGGAGTACAAGTAGTTTAACTCAGATGCATATGGCAATAGATTGGACTAGGGTGCTGTGGGAACAGATGGGGACAAGTTTCGTTTGAAGACAGAGTATAAGAAACAGTGGAAAAAATGTCTAGTGAAACTCTGCAGATAAAGAGTCAATTTATATAGCATAGTCTCTCTACCAGTGCAGTACAATTAAGTAGTTTTCCATGTTGATATCAATCCTTCCCCTTAAGAAGGGATCTTCACCCTTTTTCCTTGTCTCTTGCTACAAACTTAAAGAAGAAAGCACAAGTTTGTATGTATGTGTAAGGTGCTAAATATGCTCTTACACTGTGGGTTAATGAAAACTGACTACTCCAAATTTTCTTCAAACTTCAAGAGAAAAGAAACAGAAATATGTATGTGGTTATAGGTGCAGGAAACTTGTTTGGAAGCTATTGGTACAGGTAAACGATTTTTACTTTTGGCTGACCCTTGGACAGAAATGGAAAGGAAATGCCAATATCTACTGAAGCAGTATTTTTATTACAAGAAATTGGTCTTAATATAAAAAAAAGGGATTGACTTTGGCTAAAGTCTATAACAGATTATGTGCACATATGTGTTTTGGGGATTGCTGAGTACTTCCTAGACTGTTTTGCTTTCTTTTTTATTACATCTGGTTTGCTGAAAATCTGTTCTTCCTCTGTCATTGAATTTATATTTTCAACTTTAATTTTTTTTTCTTCTTTGGCTAGTGTTATGGTATCATTTATAATCCACTTACTGTTCTTTAAGTTTTTTTCTGTAGAGAAGAATATGCTAAAAAAAAATATCTCGTAAGTATAGAATAGAAAACCAGTTTGAATGACTTCAAAATGTAGTAAAACTAGAATGATGGCAGGCTACAGTAAGAGAATGTTTATACTGGAGTTATTCCACTTTTTATGAATACCTGAATGTAATTTCTGTTAAAATACAATTTCCTTTTTGTTTTTAATTGAAGTTAAAAATAAATTTACTGAAAAGTTTATTTTCAATCTTGCTCCAAGTTGACTTTTATTCTCAGAGTTTAAGACTATCACTGGCTAGCTTAAACATCTGTGATCAGAGTTACTTAAATAGAATCTGTTTTTATATACTTTTTAATGGTGATATTTTTCTTTTAATCACATTTTATTGTGTTACACATCAAGATTTCTCCAATTTAAAATATTTGCTATACTTTCCTTAAAGCTACCGTAAGTGGAAGAGAAGATGATAGCTGCCACTACATAATAAACTATTCTGGGATGTTAGGGAATCTACCACTTTTTTTTTTTTTGTTAAGCTGAACCGCCAACCCTAAATATTTCATGTTTATAGGGCTAGAAATTCAGTATCAGAAAGAAGCTTAACACTAGTTCTGTTAGGATAGAATTGTATGAATAAAGTACAAGGGAAAGTTGTGTTCCCACTCATGTTCTGTGTTTTGTCTAGCTGATGAATGCTTCAGTGGTTAGCTACAGGTGGGCATCTCTCAGTACTTGCTTGTCATTATTTTTCTGTCTAAGTGAATCTTGTTACACAATGTGATGACTCACAAGAGTGCTGCATCCCAGCCAACCCTCTAGCTCAGGCCTTGAAATAATTTCTGTAAGACCTTCAGTGCTTTTTAGGTTGAGAGGTGTGATTAGATGTCATCTCTTTTAGACAACTGAATACATGCTTGCTAGATTCTATTGAAGCTGCACAACTGCTGCATAGCTATTTTTGAAAGAAATGTATGAGCCAAATGGTTGATTTAGAAACTGTGTGGAAGAGCATAAATTACTAGAATACCTGGGTTTCACAAGCATTGGATTTGTCTTGAAAAAAAAAACCAACCCAACATTGAAATATTATCACATCTACTTTACAGAGAGGAATGGGGACATAGAGATTAAGCCAAAAATGAATGTACTCCCAAAATTAAACTGAGAACCTGGAATGGAAAATTAATTTTTATTGGATAAGTTTGGCAAAGGTCTATAAGCCACTAGATTAGGATGGAAAAATTTCAGCTTCACTAACGATGTCTCTCTGTGGTATGTTCCCTTGGTTAAAACATGAAGCCATGTTTCTTCTTAGCTCAGAAATTGTTGGAAGGCATTGTAGATCTGTAATTCTGAGCATTTGGTGCTTTGACTCCTGCTGTCCTTGACTTTCCCTCTTCTTTGTGCCTAATTATATGAAAGGGAGGGAGGAAAGTAGGATTAAAAAGTAAATGTAGGGCAGTTTGGGGTCAGAAAGGGAAAAGATGATGTGCGATAGACAGCATAGTGCTGTCTGGTGCCTATACCTGTTTGCCAAAGACTGGTCTTAGTATATGCAGAAGAACCGATTCAGGCATTCAAACAACTTGCAATTGCAGAGTAATTAGCTTATGAATGGAAGTAATTGTTTGCAATAGGAGTTTCATAAATCTATGAATTTTGGAGTTGATTCAATTATCTCCAGTATTTTCCTCATTCAGTTCTTTTTAATTCTGTACTTTCCATCAGGAAAAATAATTTCATGTCGTAGAAACACAGCAGAATGGTTTTCTTTGTGGCATCATATCTATCACTTTTATCTTGTTGGGGTTCCCCTTTCCTATCTGTTCCCTTGTGAACTGATCATGTCCCAGATGGTATAAGTCATGGCATTGTGGTGGGGCCGTATGCTTTAAAACAAACATAAAAAAAATCTGCTTTCTTATTACTAGCAATCAAATACTCATTATTATGACCAGTTTCCTGAGACGTCTGAAAAGTAGGGAGGAGGGCCTTACTTTTTAAGGGAGAATTTCAATTACCAAGCATTTGCTGTATCCTTTTAGGAAGGACTCAATGATTTTAACACATTACTGGGAATTGTGCTACTTTCCCAGCTAGTATGGCAATATCTTTGTGGAATGCTACGTAAAATCAAGAGGTTAAAAATGGATACCTATGTTTCTGTCTGTTTTTAAGTACTTCATTTATGCCAGTAGTTGTCTTTAATTTTATACCCTGGACTGAATCCAGCATATGTGAGGTATATAAAATGAATGCAATTAAGTAGATTTACAGTTGGCCTGTTGGTTTACCTCTCAGTCAATATGGTCACGAATGGAATATTTGACACTGAGGACTATCCAGTGCTTTTTCAGGGCTGGCTTGGACTAGATAATCTTTGGAGTTGACTGATAAGATTTGTTTTCCGAGTGAGGCATTAAGTGTTTTTCAGGACCTACACTGGTCCATGAATCTTTTAATAAATTGGGAAGACTGTCTATTGAGTCCACAGGTTTTTGGGACACACATCTTGTAGCAGTTTGCCATCTGCTATGGGAAGCTCAGCTGCCTTGGTTCTGAATGATGACTAAGTTAAGGGTGGTATCAATGAAAAAATGTCACAGAGTGATATATTGTTGTTACAGTGTCTATGCAGTTTGGGTTAATATATGTTAGGCTGTGCTCCTAATTCCATGTTCATAGTCTTAACTGCAGAGATTTAGTAAAGACAAGGGAATATTTCATTTTTTTTTGTTGTGACTGAAAAGTTTGGATTGTTGTATTTGACTATTTTTTGCATGCTTTACAATATGTTATTTTGAGAGGCACATTTTATTTAGAATGTACAAAGTAAGTCTGCATCTACATTTGTGTCTTTTTTGCTATGCCTTGTGTATGCATACTGACTGTATCCTGCAAATAATTGTTATTTTTACTAGATAAGGCATAGTCTAAAACAATCTTATGTGCCTGTATGTGACTCTCTCAAGTGTTTCTTATGTGGAGGACTTATACTACAGGATTTATTTTGAATAATTTTCTGTTTTATTTATGTATGATAATGCTAATTTAACACCACAATGCAGCCATTTTCATCAGTATGTCTATGACTTCCACTGAATTCTGGATTCGTTTCTTAATGCAGTTTTGCATTAGTACTTTTTCATTAAAGAATATAATTAATTTGCTTTGAAATTAATTTACTCCTTGGAAAGTACTTTTCCCTTTCTCCTTCAAGGAGAAAAGCAGAGAGTATGCTTTTTCTCATTTTTGATATCCACATCACTTGTAATATTATTGACTTGTTATTGAATTCAATACTGTTTAATTAAAAACTGCAAAGACCTGTGTAGAGACTGAAAAATATTCTTTAGTGTAACAACAAACTTAAGAGTTTTTTAATTTAGAAACTAAGGTTTCTAAACCTTGGGTTTAGATTATACATATTTCTACTTAAAATAAATGGTTTAAATTCTGAAGGACACTCTTTAAAATACATTTTTAAAGGGTCATTTTACCTGCCTATGTGAAATGTAACTAATGTTTTGTTATTTAAGGGGAAAAGATTGTGTTACTCTCTCTAAATATTTTTTTTTTTGATTGAACTTAAGCATTTGCTAAATTATCCTGAATTATAGAAATCAGTTTTAAGATGTTGGTGACTTTTCTATCTGTTTAGCTATTACGAAATTTTTCTAACTTCTCTGTAGGCTGAATCTTTAGTCTTCATATACTATAACTTCTTTCTTCCAAAATATTTTGTGTTTTTTTTTTTTTTTTAAATGTGAATACAATTTTACTGTTTTTTTTAGGCTTACATATATGAAATGCGTTCAAGCACTTTTTCACATAAACTGCGTGGACACACAGAATCTGTTATCAATGTGACTTTTAGTCCCTCGTCTCCACAGGTAAGTCATTGCTTTTTTTCCCCCTATTTGTAATTAAAATATGCAAAATCTTCACTATAAGCTTGCTTTTTACTACTCTTTTATTCACCTGCCAAAGTGCTGTGTGGCTGTAGGGGTTGTTCATCTACTTCCACTGTGGTTATTGTGTCAATTATAAACTCATACAAAATGCTGCATGCTACAGAGACAAATGCTTTGACTAAGTGCCTACAAAGAAGAATTCTGGCATGGGAACTGTTGCACAACTGTACTTGTTGAATGTTGGGAAAATGTACATCTGCCTCAAATTACCTGACTGGACTATTAATTCAGAAAGTATAAGAGAGAAGTAAGTAGGGGCAGGGAAATAGCAAGGGGCTTAGGCGTGCTGTAGTTACTCAAAGGCCTGAAAGATTTAAAAAGCAATGTTATTTTAAATTATGCCATGTCAGAATAAATAATGTAATAACTTTATCACAATGTTTTGAACGCTGTTGTGTTTTGAGCCTTTCAGATATCATAAGTAAGAAGTACTCCAAAGAAGTTAGGTATTAGGCAATGACAGTTCCTATTTTTTATTGATCATTAATACTAAACTGTGTTAACAGCATTGTATTTCAATGTAATGGTTTAATTATAGTGCAGCAGTAGAAAACAGACTTCTGCGTATATATGTTTTCTCTTGGAACAATAGCTTCCCCACAGCATGAATTTTCTGCATATTGTTTTGAATCCTATAGACTTACCCTCTTTGTTTTCATTCATTGAAACATGAAAATACATTGAAGGATTGATGCTTTCTATACTTCTTATTTTAAAAAGACAAGAGTGGTCATTGCATACAAAAGAGTGTACAGTAGCTCTTTACATCCTCAACACTGGCTGTACTGGTTACTATCAAAAAATGTTTATGGAGGAATCATAATTTCTTTACATGCGGGAATATTGTCACATTTACATATCTCCTTTCATTTGTAAATAAAGATGCTAGCATTCCTGTGATTTTAGAATTGCTGGAAGCTTTATTGCTTGTGTACGATGTGTTGTTTGAACTGAGAAACTGTTAATTGCTATCTTGTAGTGAGCATTATGAATTTCTGTTCTTTGGATTCAGCAATGCAATGTTCAACCAAATGGTATAGTTTATTAAATTTTGCACCCAGATAAAAATTAGTTTGAGGTTTAACACTGGAAGGAGTTCTGCAAAAAATATGTTATATTATATACCAAGTAATAGAGCTATCTGTAGTCTTGCAGCATCCTGATCTGTGGTCCAGCTGTTGTAATGCATTTTAGTGAAAAATATCTTATTAAAGTTTAACTGTTAAAAGCCTAGAGGCTCAATTGCAATAATGCTGTGAATCAAGACTTTGAAGTAACTATGTTCAGGCAAATAAGTTGTTGATCAGGTGGGTAGAATCCATAAGTGGTATAAAGTAAACAGTGGCTGTGGTTACAAGCCATACTGGTCTAAATGCAAAGTGTTCCTTGGGGCTCAAAGCCCATAATACTGAACTGTATGAAGTAGAGTCAGTTTGGTTAAGAGCCAAATTTGAAGTTCAAGGACCAGAAACCCTTTTCTTGAAGAGCTTTCCTGGGAAGCAAGAGCTGTGGATTTGAAGCAGCTGACAAATTTCCCTGTAGATATGGTTTGGGGGAAGATTTTGAAGCTGATGCTAGTAGGAAGACTTTACTAAAAAGCAAGGAATGTGCAGAAACTGCTCCTTAGAAGGGTTACAGTTGCATTGTAAATTCCATTAATCAAGTCAATCTGTATAATAAGTACTCCTAAATGTTTTCTAAATAAGTACTTTTGGGGAGTTGCAGAACCACAAAAAAAAAAAAAAAAGAAGAAAAATCACCTGGACTTTCCAACATAGGATGTAGCATGAAGTTAGGAATAGAAGCTAAGAAATGGTAAGCCTGTGGAGTGGAAAGGAAGAAAACTTCTATTAAATCAGTGAAGAATAATGCCATGACTTGAAAGAAAGACTTCATTAGGCAACCAGAGTTTCCAAAAATAGAAGATTTTTATACCTACCACTAGTGAGGGGTTTAAAGTTGACACTGTTCCTGTTTCATCCAAAGTTTGAATGAATATGACCAAGAATTATATTGGATTCTGAATAACCTCTGCACAAAGCCCCATTACATTCAATGGGAGACACTGGCAGGGAAGAAGTAAGGGGTGAAAAAAGGGAAGTGGCTGAGGAGTGAAATTCAAACATTACGGTTAAGCTTTCTGCTGTGGAAAGATCCAGCCAAGAGTGAGGTGTACTGGCAGAACTCCAGTTCAGTGGTTGCTTGCCCAGCACCTGTCCATGAGGTAGTTTGTTCCAGCCATTATTATAACTCTCACTTGCATAAGTGTTCTTCAAGAAAAGGGAAAAAACCCGGATGGGTATAATAACAATTTTTTTTAACTGATGGGGGGCATTGTTGCTTTCATCATATAATACTCTGGAATGATTTATCAAATGGTTGCTATGAAAGCTGGACAAGAGAAATAAGATAGAAGCTTTGCAATTATCTTAGATTTATTTTCAAGATGATTTATCTGTTTCATTATTCTCATTGTCACTTCCTCATTTTCACTTATTGTCCAAAACTTACATAGCACAAAGCATTTATCTTATCAAAAATATTAATTGAAATTCAATCTATTTTAGGGAAAATGCATTAAGGGGTATTATAGTGTTTAATTGTGATAACTATAATACATTTGAGTCAATCTAAGTTAAAATAGGGTGGGAGTCTTATCTTCCAAATATGGGAACAATAAATCATCTTTCTTTGAAATATTTTTGAAGCAAGATAAAAACAAATGGGGATACTACTGTCATCAGCTGGGTTTTGGTGGCTTGTAGTTGAGTATTGGTTTCATCTTTGTACAAGCTGAGTGAACACTGTGTGGCAAAACTGCCCAAGTACACTCTTGCATATTATTACCCTCATCAGTAGCTGCTTAAGAAAAATAATTTTAAAAAATGCAGAGAAGAAGAAAAAAGCTCCAAACTCTGAGCCAGTATAATGTGCTGGAATTTAATGTTTTATGACAGAATCACAACTTTAGATTCAGTATGCAATTGCTACCACCATATTGATACACTCAGATGTAGCTTTGAGAGAGGGAAAGAAAACCCACCAGAAACTACACTTAAATAGAGCAAGCCCTGAGCAATCTGATCTGAGTTCAGCATTGACCTTATTTTGAGTGGAAGATTGAATGAGACCATTTCCTCAAGTCCTCAGAAGGTTTCCTGTTTGAAGTATGCAGGTATTTAAACACATGCTCGATAAGTCGTTGAAGGGCATTTGATGAAAAATAATCAAAAATATAATTTGCATTATATGAAATATGGAAGATCTGTTCTATTCTCTTTGTCTATAGATTTAAAGGAAGTAAATATCTGACAGTATGATGTAACCATCCAACTGATATCCCGAGAGATAGCTTCAAGATTAAAAAAACTCCACAGATCAAAACTAGACTAAAATATACAAAGTCCTCAGCAACCTGGTCTGAGTTCAGTGTTCACCTTCAAGCAGACTGGATGATAAGGTTTCATGTTATTCCTGCAAATTGAATTATTCTCTGTGCTATATATACAAGCTCCATAAATCTCTTGTTACTGGAGACATGACAATTTAAAATTGCTGTGTAGTAAATATTAACATCTTGTGATTACCATGTACGCTCAGCTAGTGGCTTGTTTATGCATAAAATATCTAATTTACATGTGTGGTAGTTATTAATGAAAATTTATACTCAATAGAATATATCTATTTTGTATTGATTTATAAGTCTGATTTTATGTTTAGAAGTACAGCTATTTCAAATAACAGTAGTTTTAGGTGTTATTATATTGTGGCACATTTAGATTAGATACTAATTCACCACATGTGTATTACTTGGCAGCTGGAGAAAGTTAAATGAATAGTAGAGATCTGGAAACTCTCACAGACTAGATTTGCGTGGGAGCCACTGAAAATTTCATACTGATTTTCTGCTGACCTGCTTGAAGAGGGACATATTTCGTGTTCCCAGTCAGGATGTTTGCTTGTGGGTCTCAGGTAGATAGTAATACGATTTCACACTAAAACCACAGCTTAGTCAGAGTTGGCTACAGGTGGTTTTGGATGTGTCTGGAAATATGAGTTATCACCTTTTACTAGCTCCTAACAAAGTATATTTTTCCTGGGGGTCACATCTGGAGATTTCACTTTAAATCAACTTGTATGAAAACTCCATTCTGTTGCAATTTTGGTTCACCATTGATGGTTCACTTAATCATAAGATTTTCCACAATGGAGGTAGCTTTTGTAGTGATGTGGAAAACTCTTTTTCAGACTTTAATTTGCTGAGTTTTGGCTTTAGTATTGTATTAGTCTCTCCTGATTCCTGTGTAGAGCACATTTTTTCCAGCATGATATTCTTCCTTAGGATTCAGGGCCATCTTGTCACAGACTAGATCATGTGGATTTAAAACTTGTGACCGGTTTGACCTCTAATATGGTATCACAGAAGTTAGGAAATCTCTTTCGCATGGTTCTTTTGACCCTACTGTTTGTCCCAGCCGATCCCAATTACTCCCTCTCATAATCCATAAGTACATCAAAGCTAGTTGTAAATGTAGTTTCATAATTTTTGGTTTTATCTCTCCTGTAATTTTATCTCTGAGAGGAATAAGGAGCCAGCTATCAGCTTTTCTGATCTTCTATTCCATAAGATCAAATTCAAAGGCCAGAAAATGCTATCAGATTCTTAAAATTCAATTTTTTCTTTTGCTTTTCTGAAATGTATTTTAAAAAAAATTAATTCTGCTTGAAGATGAGAATAACTTTCAAGAATCTGGTTTTAAAAAGTTTTCTATAGATACTTGTTGAAAACTTACTTGGTAAAATACCTTTGTCTTATTTACTACCTTTGGATTGAGCAACCTATATATTCATGAAACAAGTAGAAGATGGAAAATAAAGCTAGCTTGGACATCTGAGGGGAAGCTGTTGTCATGTCAGAAAAACTTCAGGAGTGTGTGAGTGCTCTCATAAGGAACAAGAAAGCAGCGAGGTAGCAATGAAAAGGCTTGAGATGAAGTCTGAGAAAAGCAGTCAGGATCAGAGTTAATACCTCACTTAAACAAAAATCTGTCAACTCTGTAGCAGCCAATGGGCAGAGATCCTCTTGTACTGTCTCAGAAAATAAAAAGATCCACACATATAAAGGCTAGAATGGGTTTTCTGAAGCCTCAGAAAGTTAGGAACTGAGGCTAGGGGTGTAAGCGTATCTGTGGAAAAGGACACCTGCTAAAACTCTGAAGACAGATTACTTTCTTTAGGATTTTAAATATCTTCAGAAGTAATAGGCTTTTGCAAGTAGGTTACTATTCATCTCAGAAAACATACTTTCCTGGAATTTGAGAAAATTCACAGATTTCCTGAGCTGGAACTCAATATACCTCTACTATGCATGTTAAACAGCTA